AGTCGTAGAAGTTCTTATTTTGATCTAACTCCAAATTCTCGTAACTAATTCACAAAGAAATGTGTAGCAGCCAGAGGGGAGAATTGACCAATCAGATCTTGGGAGTTAAAGGGTTTTAATGCGCAATCTCAGAAATTTGTGATGTGATTGGTTGTTTTGTAGTTCAACAGACCATTCAGAATATTCTTACTGAGAACATACACCACTTGTCCAGAGTAGTTTCATGTTCAAAAGTTGCATAAAATTAATTCAAATCTTTTAAGGCTTACTGATGTTAGTCTATTCGAATATCTGAATGCGATGGTTAAAAATGTCAGACACAAGTATTCGACCATCGCTGAGCATTGCAGCAGAGATAGGAAGATCAAATTCTCCTTTTTTGTTTCCTTCTGATCCAAATTTTGTTATAAACTTTCCACTAAGATCAAATACCTGAATTCTGTTATTAAATATATCACAGACCATCAGGTGTCCTGCCTTGTTAACTGTTAAACAACGAGGGTTATTGAACTCCCCATCCCCCTCCCCCTTCTTTCCAAATCTGTACAAAAAATTACCATTCCTATCAAACACTTTGATACAATATTCATTGTTGTCTGACACTATGAGATATTTTTCATACTGTATACAGTGAACGGGATCGGTTAAAGAACCCTCACCCCCGAATTTATTTAAATAATGGCCTTTAGGAGAAAAGATCTTGATCAATTTGTTGTTTGAATCAGCAATAATTATATTTCCATCGTTCTCTACAGATAAGCCATAAGGATAAGACAGCTGGTGATCAAGATTTCCATAACCACCAAACTGGCTCAGGTACTCACCCTGCTCACTGAACAACTGAACACGGTGGTTATGACAGTCCACCACTATAATGTTATTGTTTTTATCAAAAGCTATCCCAGTAGGAAAGTTGAACTCTCCCTGTTTATCACCATAGCTACCAAAAGATCTTAAGTAAGTTCCATCACTACTGAATACCTGAACCCTGGCGCTCCCCTTCTCAATCACTGCAATTTCATCACGTTCATTCACTGCAACTCCCCAGGGATTGCTTAACATTCCAGGAGACGAGCCTTGTTGTCCAAAAGATAACACGGGTCTGAATTGTCTTGGTGAAACTTTAACCGAGAAAGGACTGCCTCGAACTTCTTCCTCATTCACTTTGACTACTGCCTGGCACCTTCCGGTTTCTTTGACAAAATAACTGACTTTGTAGCTACCATCGTGGTTATCTTTCACTCGCACTTCTGTTGCACAGTCATGGCCTTCCTGATTTTTTATTTCCGCAGTTACTCGGTCACCCTTTTCGTAACATTGTTGTCCTTTGGCATTTTTTGTTGTTAAAACAAAGTTCGCTTGAATTCCAATAATCGCTTCAGTGAGTCCTTTTCCTTTAGCAGTCGACTGATCCGCTTTGGACTCAGAGCTTAATACACGGCCAATTCCTTCATGTATTGTTTTTTCCTTTAAGGCTTCGTTTTCCTCAAAGATTAATTGACGCAGACCTTCGAGGTCACAGTCTAGTTGTTCGCGCTCATCATCGACCTCTTCCGGGATGATTGTGTTTATTGCCTTATCTAACTCCGCAAGCTCTGCGCTGGTGCTACGCTTTAAAAGCGTTTCAAATTTTGTGACTGCTGTTTCGATCATTTTGACTTTCTGTTCCATTTCGATCCTTTGTATTCGCAAACGTTCCAGGGATTGTTGCGCCTCATGATCCGCTTCATTAAAGATTTCCTGTTTCTTGGCTTCAATAACTGCGATCATGCTTTCTGCAAACTGTTGCGCGCTTCTTTTTACTTTGGCAACGTTTGCCTCGATGTCTTGATCTTCAAAATCTTTCAGTGCAAGAGCTCGGTGATCTTTATTTGCTTTGAGTAAGTTATGCACAGTGATACACTCTTCACACCAGAATGTACAGCACTGAAAACAGTAGAAACTGTGCACTCCTCTTTTGTCGCAGTTTCCGCATTTGACTCCAGTAGAACTGCACTGCTTTATGGCCAACACATCTAGTAAGCTGTTGATGCGAAAGTTAGTGGGCAGATCTCTTAGGTTTCCTCCAGGGACTTGACTCTCCTTGCGACACTCAGGACACGTTATGACATCATAGCGGCCACTGTTTCTTTGAATTCCTTCTAAACAGTGAAGGCAGAAGCTGTGTAAACATGGCAGCTGCTTTGGTTTAGTAAATGTGGTCATGCACACGGGACAGGAAACTTCCTCATGAAGATTGTCAAGTAAGGTTTTGATATCCATGTTTAGCAGTTTGAAAGGAAGGAATTTGCTGCACGTATTAAACACCTCTAATAAAATAGTTGTTGTCTTGCGAATGAAATGCTATAAATATTAACGAATCAGATGCGATACCTAAAGGCGTATTTGACATGCAAGATTTCTGAGAATACTTCTAATTTTATACGGTTTGACCTCGGTAGACAAACACGTTCTCAGATGGTGGACAGGTTTTAGGAAGATTGGCTGACCCTCAGTGAGTCTCCAGAATGGCCACGACCAATGACGAAGGTGTTAAATAAGAGCGTGATTTTCAGAAAAACTAGACGCTATCGTAGTGCTAACTCTAAAGTTTTCAAATAAATAGGCCATTTTTCATTGAAAATACTAACTAGTCTTCGTAGCCGACGGTTTTGTAGGGGGAGCGCCTGATGAAATACATGTGGTAATTGACAATCGTGTAAGTTACCGCGACCTTGATCATTTTGATGCTCATTGTGCAGCTGCAGACAGACTTGTTTTCAATCAGATGGCGGACAGGTTGCAGTGGAGGAGTGGCTTCAGTATGGTCTCGGCCAATCGCGATGCTTAATTGAAAGTGTTTGGGAAGAGCGTGACTTTAAAAAAGAATAGACTCTGTATGACCTTTATTTTGATAGGTTAACATAATCAGTGGCTTATGCAGCTTAATCTTAAAAGTTTGTTGTAGATAAGTGGAGATGGTTTGTTTTATCTTGGGCAACACACGCAACAGCTAAACATGTGAACTAGTTGTTCTTATGCCGAGTGAAAGTCACACGCAAGCATATTCTCTCCCCACCCTTCTCAGTGCCTTTTTGCTTTACTAACTCTTGCCTCCATGCCCCCGCGCGGTACATGTATCTCCATTTGATTTAAATTTAGGTATTGTCTTTTATCACTGTTTTACTATTGTTTTATAATTCCACACAGCGCAAGTATTTCATTCATAGACTTTCAAATTATTACTCGACGCTATTTACAGAAGCGTTAACTCTAACCTGGTTGAGGATTTATTCTTTGATCAACAGGCGCAAAACAACTGATCGCGCCGAAAATGAATATATTGGCTAAGTTTCGCTCGAAATAGTTTTGAATGGAAACCGAAATCTTCCTATCTCAGGCTACCTTTTTTTGTTTCTTCTACTCTGATCATTCTGTTCTTCACTTCCTCCACTTTTCAGCTCCGCTGTTCCAGCCAATTTAATTGTCAAAATATTCTTTTCTCAAGAGATAATGAGACAGGGACTTGACTCTTTATTCACTGGTGAGAAGACCATGGTGGTCCTTATCGATGGATTTTTTCCTATCTCTAGAGAGCTCTTTTGTGGGTTTTTTAATTTTTGGTTACCAATCCCTTCACGCATGTTTGTGATTTCGTACATCAGAGCAAGAGGAAAACGGAACTGTTATGTTAAGCATCATAAAACTGCTTGTCATGGATGTCATCTGTTTCTTCTTCCGTTTTGTCACTTTCGTTTTGTGTAAAGCGGACTTTCCTTTTAGAATACAGAGCAAAAAAACTCACGGACAAATAGAACAATCGATAATCCCGGTATAATTAGAAACGATCGTGACGCCAAATATCTGTGAAACAACTTAACAGTCTTATGGTTGAGATGCTATTAATTTTGACCAATTACATGAGATGCCTGAAGACATATTTAACATGCAAGATTGCTGAGAATTGTTAAGTTTAGCCTGACCTCAGACATTTAAAGCTCATTATGTAGTATCCAGTGGAAGGAGCAATCCAGTAGCTTCTGGGTCTACGGTCATGATCACAAAGTGTATGCTCCAGACTTCCCCCAGAAGTGCAGCTGCGGCTGCAGTATTTCGTAGAGCTGCCCTCCGAATGAGCAATCAGTAACCGCGAACTACGTGAGCTTTCGGGACTTGAAGTTATAAGGGAGACGAAGTTTAGGGCATGGACGCGTTTCACATAAGGGACTGGTCATTATTTATCTCGGGGGAGGGGGGGGGGATCCTCGGAGGATTTTGGTTGCGTCGCGATAGAATTTAACCCATTTCCCCATAAGGCTCTGCAATGTTCTTATGATCACCCCTTCATTGGCAGTCAATTATCTATAGTCCCCTTCCCTTTATACTCTGTTTAGGGTTCGTACGCGTCTTGAAAACCCTTGCAAACCCTTGAATTTCAGGAGGCCGATTTCAAGGCCTTAAAAGTACTTGAATTTCGTTTTGGGTCCTTGAAAGTTCTTGATTTTTTATTGAAAAACATCGAAAACTATCTGCTTTTGCTTTGCACCATCGGTAAACCCAAAACAGAGATGTTAACAGAAACATTTTTCTTGTTTTTGAGGTAAAATTGTCATTACAAAAATTCCTTGAAATTTCTAAATAGGTTCCTGGAAAGTCCTTGAATCTTTGGCCTGAAAAATTGTACGAACCCTGTCTGTTGTCAACGACTAATTCCCCCCTCCCGGCTTTCCTTGAACACGTCGTGCTACCCCTTTAAAAAATCCTTCTCACCCTCCCCCCGGTGATAAATGATAACTGCTCCCTTACAACCACGCCCAAGGTAGCTTCATATCTTTAATAATTTTAAAATAGGACTCACATAGTTTTAAGAATAAATCACTTGGTACAATAATCAAAACCTAGTTAGGAAGTAATGTTTACTGCCATTCTTTGGGAT